TTTCGCGTAGGTCCTCTTCACACCGCGATGTGTCTCTCCCCTAAACCATGTTCGACCGCAAAAAATGGAGGTGTTTGGTTTTAGGGTTTTCTACGATTCCTTTTTTGCTTTTTCCGTCACCAGCTGTCCTCTTCGCCCCACTTTTTTCAGTCTCGAGCGGAATAACACACCAATTCGATCCCCACCCGTTCTTTTGATATAAGTCAAGGTTACACTGCGGTTGCAGCTTGAATGTGCAGCGGAATCAAGGAATGGCTTGCACAACAAATCGCTTCATCCTTCAAGTATTCAGAGTTACTCTTTTTTCCGAATGTAGAAGAAGTAACGTACCAGCTTTCCCATATCAAATGAGATGCGGTGCCAAGATCGTTCAATTCTAGAAAAAATAAGTTGAAAATAAGTTGCAAGCTGGTTTGCTACGACACCGTCATACCTCTTCCCTTCTTCTTCCAGGGGGATTCTCAAAGGAACTGCTTTCTGCACCCATGACGGATGAACAACCGACAGTGACCATTCGACGTCGATTCCAGATTGAATCGCGTAGAATCTCAACTGAAATAAGACTTCCGTGTTTGGAAGCTCACCATGATGGTTTCTGCTGGCGCGGTACAGACTCACCCTGCATTTGCCATCGTCGTTAAAAATGGGAGGATAAAACGGCGACGTGAAGAAGGTGTCCCTCGTCGACAGCGATCGATTCCAATTGAGTTCAGATGAGTAAAGCAGAAAGCTACCTGAGTACGTATTTGCTAAGAATCTTACATATCAGTTTTTACAATCGATAAAAAGGTTATTCAATTAAGACGTTTATTTAGCCACTTCTACATATCATTTTGCATGATCCATTCGAAACAAAAGTTATTTAATCAAAATTAATCAAAATGTTCGCTTAACCAATTATTCCTCACGTAAGTACAGCAATGACGTAAATGGGAATATGGGAAGGTCATCAGAAATGTGAAGCAAAAGTTACAAGCATGCTCCAGGATTAGGCTTCCTAGTATGAACCGGGCTGCGAGTGAGAGTGTTGAATAAGTACCTACTGAGGTCGTGCCAGCTTCGTCGCCCATAACACGGTTAGGGCGGTAATCTTTATGAATTGCCACCATCGACACCCTTCCGATCCTCTTCACACAGCGCGATTTAATGGAGAGACCAACGTGCTCATTAGTACCTCTCCCGTGTTTTGTCCTCTCTGGTCGCTCTGCCTCTCCGTGGCACCACATCCGACCTTACTGGGGTAGCTGGCCCTTACTTTAGCGTTTTCGATGGTTTCTCTTCCTTTCATTTCCACTTTCAGTTCTCCGCAGCTGATCCATCACTGTAAATCGCTCTTATGAGCGAGTATTAACCCAGGGCTTGCCTACAAAGTAACAGTTTCCAAGCAGGAGGTATAAACTATTGCTAACTGATGCGGGAAAAGATGGCGCGAGCTCCAGTCAGAGCATTAAGGTCGTACTTACGCAGAAACTTCACCATGTGAAACCCGCCTTAGCATAGGGAATTGGGATTTGTTGCCAAAGCTACGTTTTTCCGCCCTATTCCTTTTTCATCCGCCACCTGCAAGCGTATAGAGTCACGTGGTCGACTACGCCGCTTATATAGTGCAGTGATTGCATGCAAACTGCTTCCGCAGTTTCAAAGGAATGCCCTCACTGCTGTTTGCTTTCGGCTTGCGATTGTAAGCCGCTTTTACCTTTGTTTGTATGCTGCAATATGCGCAAACAGCTTTCGCATTTCGCTGGCTGGCACGAGCAACAAATGCGCGGCCGGAGTACAGGCAAGTTACTTCAGACAGCTCGTCCTGCCCAACTACCTCCCTATTTCGAGGAGTAGGAGGGAAATCTTTCTTGTAGCTCAATGCGCAGTTTTCACTTTTTTCATTTGCAGTTAATTCGCCATCCTCAATTTCATAATCGACCGCTTCGTCCTCGAATTCAATCTGGAATTGTTGCTTCAAGGAGGTGTTGTTGCTACTGCATCAAATGAAGTTTTAGTTCCATCCTTCGCGGTCGTCGCCTGTGGTGCGAACCCGGTTGTGGAAGAACGAAACCACCAGCATGAAATATTTTAGTTCCTAGCAGGAATTAAATTAGAGAAAAATGGGATTTATTCGGCGTCCCCAGACACGGCAACGGTTTCATCATGACTTGATAATTCGAACTTTGTCGTATTTCACGTCCACTGCAATCCCATATTGAAAAGCGTGATTCGCATCGAGAAGAAATTCCATGATAGCTACCTATGGATTATAAAGCTTTACACTGAAGTAATGGGTGCCAATAAATTCTGATATTCGTGAAACAAACATGGCATCACGCACCCTTATTTTCGCAGTTGATTTCGGAAGATCTAAGAGCGCAGATTGAAGAGGCCAAGCGTTCTTATACATTCTGCAACTGAGTAGGAGATACAGTTATCAAAATGAAGTGATTCGTCTGGGAATTGATGGCTACAGTCTCGACAAATCTTATATTTAACCCATAACGGACGGCCAGTGTATTTTGCGCGTGCGCCACCATGTGGCGCACGCCGCCACCCAGGGTAGGGTTTATGTAGGCTTATGTGAACAGCAGGGGTAAGACGGGGCTAAAGTAGGTGTCGGAGTCTCATCATCCGAAAAAAGAGATTTCCGTTGACGACAAGTTCGTAGCCCGCCTTTCCGCTCTAAAACTAGGGTGCAAAGAATGAATGGAAGCTGTAGGTGACATTATCGAAAAATGCGAAACAACAACCCCGAGCAAGGATGTGGCTATATTTAGGGGAAGGGGTCTCGGGACGTGCGAACCATGGGTAAGCCACCCATCAAATAATAAACTTATGTAAATTAAAACAAAATTTATTGTAGGTTTGTCAAAAATCCAGCCGTCCAGGTCCTGGGAAGATATGTTATTCCACATTGCTGAGAGTATATATGGGTATATTAAGATTGCTAGAAACATTCCAAAAACAAAAGAAATAGTCGTGCGCCACCTTGTGGCGCACGCCGTCCGTTATGGGTTAAAAAATTTTAAAACAATAAATTTTCTGCTAACTTCGTATAATGTACGGTGAAAGGACTGAAGATCAAACGCAACATATTTCATTGAAAGTGAAAAAAAAATAGATGAAATGAATAGAAAGCCAAATAAAAAAATCTGAAGATGACATTTTTTCAAATTCACTTGAAATGAATATGAGAAGGTATGTACCTCCTCCAGGCCGGGAAGTATGGATTGGTCCAACATTTCCCATTGGTCGCTTGACCTGAAGCAGATGTTCGGTGATAGGCTTTGCTTGCTCAAGCGACTGCGTTACACATTGGTCCACCCATCACGAACGACTTCTCGTTATCAAAATATACGCAAATCAGGATGACCTACCACATGATTCTTCGTCCTTTCCGTTCGGACAGTCATCCGCGATGTCGCAGACTACATTGTCCATGCACCTCATGTGACCCGGTACCTCACAAAATCTCGAGTCTAATTCGCAAGTGGCTATTGGACTACTTCCGGCTGAAAAATAAGGTCTCACCTGGATAGTAGAACACTTTCAAAATGCACCCACCCGTACACTCGTCATCCCATACAATCTTTCCAATTTCACATCCTGCAGAGGTATTTGTGGCAAGAATGTTCTTGTCGCCTCCTTCTGAGCGGCACTCGATCCTCAGCCGTGTAGGCGTAGTGAAGTGGCCAGGCTCGAATCGTCCGAGGCGAGGTCTCCTGAATGATTTGAGCTCATTTTGAGATGATCTGGGTAGAATTCTGTCAACGAATTTTTTCTTACCGACTATAGTAGTCCATTTCTTCTTGAAGTATCATCGAGCGAGTAGAGCTTTCCCCGAGTTGTTCTGAAAACAGGGCATGCTTCATGCATAACACGAGACTTTCGCATTCATTTTCACGTGGCACGATACGGAGCTCATTCCGAAGGTAAAATACTGATTTTCACATCTATTAGGCTGGTCCATAAGTCTTGCAACAAATACATTTAATGCTAGAGAATTTTTGTGAGAACTCCGAAAATTCCGCAACATGTTTGTTGACGTAGCATCCACCTTTGCAATTTCAGCCAACCAGCTCGTTGTCTCGCTACTTGTTATGGATATTACACCGATTTCGCGAAAAGCTCTTCGTGCCCTTAATTTTTACGAGTACTGCTTGGAATGTTCCGCAAGTCATGCTACACCAAGGATTAGCCAGAAGATGGGCGAGGGCACGCTCTCTCAATTCACGGTGCACGGCGCTTCACTCTGCTCAGCGTTGACTTTTTTATTTGAAGATATCCACACTCCAACCACCCTGTGACTGACAATCACGATGCTCTACCTGACGCTGTTGAAAAGGGATCTGGATAGAGTATCGATCATTTGCTAGAGCGATTCCGATGCGACAAGGAGACAGCACTGTGGCATCTCCAAAGACTTGTGAAGATCCGAAAATGTAGAGTTTGGTCCCCACGTGCCTTGAGCCCGATTCAGCTCCAAACACGATCTGACACCGTTATGTTCGTCAGTCAAATGCTTATAGGGATTCTATTCGATTGACAACTTCGTATAATGTTGAAGATGAGGAGAGGTACATCATGCAAACAGAATAAACAAGGTATCGAAATTCGTTTTGCAGCAATACGGTCTAAATATCTACCTGCGTCAGATGGCCTCCAGATTTTGGTGGGTACCGAGATAATGGGCTCTGGAAACCCTGCAATGATAGTGTACATATCTGTTTACGGGACAACTATCGACTCACCATTTCTGAGAAAATGCCGCAGGAAACCAGTACATGTCGGCGGCCAAAGTTCGACTCTATCGCCTTAGCGCCTGACCTCTGTGCTATACCATATGTTATCCCTCCTGACAACTCTTAGAGAAAACATCTCACCCCGAATGTCGTGATGTCAAAAACGACTCCGATCAGAATTCAGTGGACTTCTACATATATCATATAGATATTGATGGTGTTTACTATGTTGGATGAGTGAGAGAAAGATAATAAAAATGTCAAGATCAGAATTTACTTAGTTTGTTGCGAGACTTATGGACCAACCTAATAATGACCCACATAGGACACTGTATAGATTAAACCTGCAAGTAAATGTCACATGAGTTGCAGCATTCCAAGAAAATAATGGCCATACCTATTTCAATCTCAATTTCACTTTATTGCGGACTCGTAGCACGTACCAGGGGCGGTCTGGCAGAAGAAATTCAGTTGTTAGCACAATTGACGTTGGCTCACGCTATTCGAGGCGATAAGCGAACTCCAATATGCACTAAAACGATTCAACGGTTTTTTCGAGTAACTTATTTGCGCGAAGGAAAAAAAAACTACCTGAATCGAAATTTTGAAGTAGGGAGCTTGAGAGCGATCGTGCTCTTCTCAAATGGCAGCGCAATTGATGCGAAAGCAGCTCGTGAGCCTGAGATCACCATTATTAGCAGCTGTTTTCAACGTTCCTGACATGTTTTTACACCTTACTGGAACTGAAACTTGGCCCATCAACAAGACAATCGCCAAAGTCATGCGAACAGCTACACCTCGGCCATGATGCTTGTTGTTCTAGAAAAGATTATCAGCCGCAGCAATGGCAGCAAAGCATACTAGCTCTTGTTTTCTAAAGATTAGCAGACGACAGCAATGGCAGCAAAGCATACGTAGCTCAGAATTGAAGGAACGATCACGCTTGAAAGATCCGCTTCTTTACATGGCGCAATTGAAGCATCGATGGGCCGGTCATTTACTTCGCCGCACTGATGACAGATGGAGTCTACGCGTGACGGAGTGGCTCCCAAGAACAAAACGAGACCCTTAGGACGACCGCCAACTCGGTGGGCCGACTCGTTTTCAAAATTTTTCAGAGAACGCGGCCTACATTGGATGCAAGTTGCCAAAAATCGGGCTATGTGGAAGAGCTGTGGTCCCCACTGAGAAGAACGCCAGTTGATGGACTATCAAAGTATCAATGTAAGTACTGTAGTTGCTATGTGGATTTCCTTGGCCATTACTAACACTTTGAAACGCTATGCACCTTGAAGGTATGGTTCACGATTATATTTTTGGAGAAGACCTTCTGGAAGACCTTCAGTGAGATGGAAGGATCATTGGTTACACGGTGTTGATACTGTCGCGACCTGAAAGTAGGCGACAAGTGGGCTAATGGGTTTGCTCGACCGTTGCAATCGCTGCCATCCTTATCAATTGCGGCAGCGTGGCGTATGCGCCTCTCGTATAACGTGCTTGTGCTCTTACTGCTCCCGCAGCGCTATCTCTAAGAGAATCTACCGCTAACCCTCATAAGGGAAACTTCATTGCCAGGTCACCTCTTCTCCCCACTAACATTCCTCATCGCACTCATTGTCTCGAACTAAACAGATCATCAATTCGATCCCGAGGCGTGGTTTCGAATTTTTTGCCTTCCATCCTCGGCACTGATGAAAGGGAGCACTTAATTTGACCCTAACTCGCAAGCAGGCATAGCAACATGGCATCAAATCCAATGCATAAGAAGTCGTGATCTCTTCGAGGCCATCGGCAAGTGTGCCACTGACCGCCATGAGACTGCAGCCGAAACTAAGCCGGCTGCAGGCTCATGGCGGCTGGAATCCAGCAATCTAACTATGGGGGTTCCGTTCTCGTTCGACTCAATGAATATTGGCGATTTGGGCCATTGGCGATTTTCGCCGTGACCTTTTGAATTACGGCGAAGACTCCTTAAATCAGTAGGATTGAAGAGTGTGTGGCGGTTACTACAAAGTTGGCGCCTTTGCGGACTTGTGTGGCTGACCATGAGTTTTTGACCATTCTCCACGGAACCTTCCTACAGGCACGAGGGGCTTCTACAGAAATCGATAGGATCAAGGTTGCAAGGAGTCAGCGGCGTGCTCGGCCTCTAGTAGCCTTTCGAGGGCCTTCACCTACGCGATGAACCCTCAGGAGACCTCTCAAAGGCCGAATGTGCGATGTTAGCTCATTGGAAATAAGGGTATAGGTGGTCAGTGGAGCAGGGATGAAGAAGAAACCATCCGAAATCCAAGAAATAGGAGAAATGGGACACTCATCGCTGTGCCCTCATCAACACTATGCTTTCTCTGCTATCTAATCACTCGCCGTGTGTAGACCTGCAGCGGTGTGATTAGAATAGTCGGTGGGCGTACCCGAGCCAACCGCGCCAAGATTATGTCATGCTGATCGCCGAGGTCAAATCTTTCGCTGCCAATTGTCTCTCAGTCCGCACCCTCAGGAAGTCCGCCTGTCTCCCCACTCGGCAATTTTCCCCTTCGATATTCGTTTTGTAGTGAATCCATTTAACCCTTTCGGCCCTGGCGGTGGCAATTGCCACCACCAAATTCAAACGCTTGCATTGCCGCTGAAACAGCATGGTTTTTCTAATCCTGCTAGAGGTTGCTTCAGTCAACCTTCCCCTTCCTAATTATGAGCTATGCCGCTTAATATTTCAAGTATTGCTGTACGTATTACAACAATGATCGGCGCTGGTCCTCGCATCGGCCAAGTAAGTGTCACTTTTTCTTAAAATACTTGAAGTAGATCCACTCTTCAATCAAAATTATGGGTTATAATGTTGTGCAAGATTATAAACTTTTTCGGCATAACTATGAAATTTCGAATTGTTTCGACATAAGCTTAAAAACTAAGAAGGTGGGCCAATTTTCAAAGCTTCTTGTTTCTTTGTTTGTGATCGAATAGCTTCCAAGTAATAATAGTAGCTAGAAGAAAAATGTCTCACGCGGAAAAAATTCAATCGAAAGGCGTATAAGGCAGGTTGTCCGGGGCACCCCATCAGCTACAATACCGCCACTAACTTTTGAAATTTCTCCGCTGAGCGACGGATTTGCAGCGTCGCAAAGCGTCGCCCCTTCATAACTCCCCCAAAGCGGGTCAAATGATTGGTGCTCTACACCATTGGACTCGTCTCTCTGTGGCGAGTCTAACCATGTGGAAAACTACGGTACTCGCCGTAAAAAATCGAAAAAAAACAACACGCGAATTTGCGTCGCCTCGAGTGACGAAAGACAGACTGCAGAAGTATACGCGAACTCTGCGGTTTTTTTCGTTTTGCGTTATAACTCGGCCAAATGAGGTTTTCATAGAATTCAGAAAAGCACAGAATATCAGCTTGTCGAGTCTTATTTGAGCTTTAAAAAGCCCTACTTCAGATTGCGCCATGCACTCGAGCTTTGGCTCGAGAAAAAATTGTTTGAATGTGGTGCGCATATAATCCCGCTTATGCATCATGATCGTTCTTCAGAGAGATGGGTCTCAGCAGTTGCCCCAGAACGCGCCGCGTATTCAACATCGTCCATTGTATTGTGAATGGATCGATTGCTTTTTTCCAGATTTCATGGTCCCTATTCCACAGCGGCGCGTTAAATGACTTAACACGTAGTCCTGCGCTCAACATCCTCCTCTCGTGTTCAAATGGAAATCATAGATCAATTCTCGGCTGGACAGTTAGCCTATCTGGTGAAATTTTCCAATGTTTGAGCGAAGGTTTTTCCGAAATCTGAGGAGGTAGCGGGAAAATTCTTCACTGTTGTAGAGTACGCTTACTTGTGTGTAGAAAAGATGACATACTTGCTTGTAGACGAGCGCTTCCGCCGTGCTGTGGCTGTGAAAATGCCTCCTCGTCATGCCCTTGTGGAAAGATCAGATTTTTTGCATTTCCAGATGAACTCGCAGACCTGAGATGTGCCCCATTGGATTCCCCGTGAAAAATGCTATCGAATGATATGCATTACTCCTCCCAGTTGAAACTTTGGTTTTTCACCGTTTTCAGCCTTCCCCTATTGCCGATTGGGCATCATTATTCCACTATTAAAGGATAAAGCATTTGCCGTTGATCAATCCCTTTT